TGAAATCTGTTGAATTTTTCACAACACTATCATACCAGCAACATGGCTTCGTAAAACAAAGATCAACTATAACTAACTTGGCTCTTTTTGTTGGTGAGCTATTTTTTAACATCGATAATCGAATACAAATAGATACTGTATACACAGATTTCCAGAAAGCGTTTGACAAAATTGACCTACTTCTTAAAAAAATAGCATTAAATGGAATAGGAGGTAATATATTAAGGTGGTTTTCTTCATATATTTTAAATAGGACCCAGATAGTTGTAATAAATAGCCACTGTTCCAATACAATAACAGTAACATCTGGTGTGCCACAGGGATATATCCTTGGTCCGTGGCTCTTCATCCTCTTTATAAATGACATAAACGAATGTTTTAAGCACTCAAATTTTTTACTATATGCTGATGATCAGAAGGCTTATAAAATTATAAAAAATGTTGATGGTTGTTTACTTTTTCAAGAAGATCTTAAGAATTTGAGTTTGTATTGTGTAACAAAATAAACTTTATCTTAGTATCCCAAAGGGTCTAACAATATCTTTTACTAAAAACAAAAAAGTGGTTAAATTCAACTATACCCTCTGTGACAAACTGTTGCAGAGAGATTTTGGTGTAATTTTGGACCAAACACTCCACTTCGACTTACATTTAGAAAAAATTGTAAGCAAAGCATATCAACTTTATGGTCTTGTGATGAGATCATCAAAAAATTCAAGAAGGCTTCAACATATTTGTATTTGCTTAAGTCCTTGATTCAGCCGCAATTAGAATATGCTTGTGTTATATGGGACCCCTACTATGCAAAATATAGTGAAGCCATAGAAAGAGTTCAAAGCAAGTTTTTACGCACCATACATTATCGTCTTAAATATTTTACCCTTTCATATGATAAACTTCGTGTTAAAAATAACTTGGTCAACAATGAGATCGAGACGTTTATTATTGCAGGCTATGTTTTTGTTTAATATTTATCATAATAAATTTGATTGCCCAGCGCTTTTAATATCTGGTTTAAAAGCGCTGGGCAATCAAATTAGTAATAGTACCTCGCCATAATAACTTACGCAGTGTACGCCGACGATGTGTGTTCGCCGTTAGAGCTTTCCGTATATACACTTTTATCTATGGTTAGAGCTTGCCGTACTAATGCCAGCAAACCACTGACCTCTATATATTTTTTTTGCACCCGAAGCAATTAAAGGGCTACCCTATTCGTAGGGAGGCGGAAAATGCATTACGCATACCACGATAGCCGGTCTATCGTGGTTATGAGGGACTCACATCCTACCGGGGACCCTAAGTGATACCCTCTAAAAACCGCCTTTGGGGACAGGCAACCTGACTGGCTGGCTGATTAAGCTTTATTGTGCCTTATCATGAGCGACCCTCTTTTGGGAATTGAGGGCGCAGGCGGCTACGAGCCGCTGAGGGAGTGCCTACGAAGGCAAATTAATTATGAGTAAATAATTTAATTTAATTAGAGTCGGCCTGAGCCGCCAGGAGGCAGTTTAGGTCGTTTGTTAGTTTATTAGGCGGGTCCGAGAGAGAGTTTCTCGGCCTGCGGACTCGATAACGAGAGGGGGGGTGGGGCTGCATAAGTAGCTGCCTCACGAATTAAATGGTTTGAGTGCGACTCTGAGGCTTTGAAGAAGTTCTCAGAGAGTTTTTGGAGAAATTGTTGAATTGTGGGGAGCTCTAGGTCCCGATGAAGGTCAGCATTACGGACGTACCAAGGTGCGTTCGCAGCTCGACGACAGAATACTCCTCTATATATACAGTGTACTTGTATATATAGAGGTCAGAGCGGCAAACGCATACCACGGCGACGCTTGATGTCAGTATATAATGATATGTTTTTATATATAGATATTTTTGCAACATCTTTATAAAAGGCCAGAAAACAAGTATGTACCCTTACACTTAATATAACATATATGTTACGATTTTTTTCTTTATCTATATTGTATAAGTTTAATTTTGTTTGTACTAAGCAAAACTAAGTAAGGCGTGGACGTAGTTGATTGTACAATTAACTATTCAAATTCTAATATAAATTTCTGTTCTTTGTAATACTTATTGTACTATTGTTTGTTGTCCCAAATAAATAAATAAAAAGTTGGACCAACCGCACACGGTGTGCAAATTTAATTTAAATCGGTCAAGTATATCGTGACACGCAATTTATATATATTAAGATAAAAATCTAAATAGCATAGAAATAATGTATGTAGCTATTAAGAAGGTAGGTATTTACCAGTAATTAAAATGAACTGGCGCGCCGTAATCCGCTGGGGATTACGGCGCGTCCGGAATACTCCGAGGGTGCCATCACTTAAAAATTTCAACTTAAGATTTCGCACACACGGTCCGTTTTTTGATTTACGTCAGTTCGATTGAGCAGTTTCAACTGACAGTGCGATCGAAAAATACGTGGGATGTCGTCAGTCGAAAATTTCAACTTAAGATTCCGCACTCACTGTCAGTTTTGTCAAGATCAGTCAGGATGTACGTCAGTTTAACTGATCATTTTAACTGACCGTGTGTGGCGTCCATTACTTTACTATTCTTATAGTAAACGTTTTATGTTACATTAGAATTTAAGTTTATATTTTTGTTTTATATAATGTGTCTTAGATATTAACATTAATAAATGAATTAATAAATCTTAGCATTAATTTAACACTGAATCTGCTACTATTTCATTATTCACTGAATTATAAATATATACTATTCCATAGTGTCAATAAATAAGTTCTTATAATTTTGTGAAGACATTGTTTAAGAATAGTTTAATTTTACTATGCCTTTGAAACAATTCAACTTGATTTTATAATAATAGCAAATAATTGAACCAATTCTATTTTTCTATTTTATAATTATTTTTGTATTTAAATAATTTTTTTGATTTTCACTGTATAGTTTGTAAGACATAAACATATGCATGTCCGTCAATTGAATTTAATTTTAGTTGATAACTTATATGACTATAACAGTAATTCATCATTATAGATATTATATTTTTCGAAAATGGCACTTAAAATTAGTTGAATAAGTACTGTAAAACACGTCCGCGCCAACCGGATGTAATGTCAATCAGATTCGGTGAAGTGCGATAGCACATAATATATAAATCAATGGATAGCACAATGTCAGCCCGCCATCTGCCCCACAGTACCCCCATCGTTGCTCTGCACAAGTACATTCGTTTCCCACCTGTAAGGTCTTTAAGGCCCCGTGCGCGAAATCAACTCATTTCGGACAAATCTGATCACTGATTGTGTGAACAGGAAAACGAATTTTAACTTCTTTTATTTTTATTATAATAGTCAAGTTCTTAATCTAATATCTGGCTTGAAGAGATGAATCATATTATCTATATAATAATGGCAAATCACCAATATTCACAACCCTTTTTCCGAAAAGTAACGATCAATTGATTTTTGTCTCCGTTTTACAACGAAACTACAAAATATTTCAAACATTAAAAAAATATAAATAACATAAGTATACGGTCTACTTGTTTGTAGCCAGATCAGTTTTTTTAATTTCTTTCCAAATATAGCAGAAAAAATTGTTGAAATAACGTAATTTCCAGAAAACTTCGTTCGAAATGAGTATTTTTTTCTATTACATAGAAACAATTTTAAATAATTTAAAATTTACACATTAATCTTAAGATAACCCTTTATTGGAAACTAAATTTTATTTCATAAATAAATAATAAATTCGTTTATTACTAAATGGCAAAGTGAACTATATTATCGACCGCGCAAAATTGATGCGATCAGTGCTGATCAGTGCTAGCTTGCTACATATTTATTTATCTATGATCAGTGCCGACCGGGCCTTCCCAGAGCGAGGACGTATCACTTTGCATCGCAGGCGCTCCCGTGTTTTACGTAAACATTTTCAGAAATTGTACACCGACCACCAAATTTTGATCAGGGTATTTTTTTTGGATAGTTTGTTTATTAAGAATTATAATATGTTGCACGCCTAGTCTTTATATAAAAGTTCAGGTGTGCGTGTTCGTAATTCTTGTTATCCTAAACGGCTATACCAATTATGATGATTTTTTTCTTCGTATGGGATCACCTGGGTGGTTCTTAGTACCTAATAGTTAGATCCGGCTGCTGTCTCAGTACGTCTGCTATGTTCATTGATATTTTATTTTTGATTGTATTTTTTTACCTATTTCAGATACCATTCTGAGAGACACAAGTGCTCTGTATTTTATTTATCCCTTTAACATTCCGTTTCTCATATACGGCCTAATATTTAAATTTAAATGTTTTGCATTTACAAAAACTTTGTTTTAATGAAATCACGATGTTTGATTTTCGGGCAAATACCAAAGACATGTTAAATTTGTCTGTACTCTCTAGCAGACATTAATGACATCGCGGAACGAAAGCATTGAATTACTTAAATATTTGCATAGTGTATTTGTCTAACATATTTCTTTTTTATTTTCATTTTATGTTGATTGTAATAAATATACTAAACTATTATACAAAAACATCCCAGACTTTTATTTCTAAACCGTACTTACTACGTATCCTAAAATAAATATCAACTAAAGGATCAAAATTGTTTAAGCGAGCACTGCGGTCGGTCTTTAGCCGTGTGTACGTAAACGATAGCACCGCAACGAATTTGCCTAAACTCTATCGAATAAATTTTCTGCACGGCCTCTTAAGCTGTTATTTAGATCGGTTTTACCGTTTCTGAGATATCGGTGATAAACACATTAAAACACACTTGACACTTTAGAACCTTTTCGGTTTCGTACTCCGTTAAAAATTTCAAATTTCCGATATAAAATTCTTATTTTGACATTTGAAGTTATTTAGAGTCAACTAAAACGTAGTTATTATTTATAATTTATTTAGTATTTACTGTTAAATAACAACATCTAAAAAGAAAACGTTGAATAAAATAAATATTGTATTATTAGAGTGTGATTACCTTTAAATTAGATTTGTTTAGCATTGATAATGGCAAAGGAATCTTCTTCTATAGAGATGATAGGAAAAGAAGAAAACATAAATTTTTTATATGATATTTCTAAAGAAGTAAAGCTTTTCTACGAAACTCCGGTTATATTTGTAACTCAAAAAGATTATTCTGAGTATGTATTTAATACAATGTGTGAATTACGATCTGCCTTGCAAACAGACACAAAAAATAGAATAATGGACATTATAGTAGACTTCCACTTGCAATGGTTGCATGCCGTTAATGATATAGAAAATTTTAAAAAGGTCGTAAAGAATGTAACGAAAGATGAAATGTCACGAGCTATTAGTTACACAGTTGATTCTATGTTATCTCGCTTAAAATGTTACGAACATTATATGATGGTACATAGACAACCCCTTCCAAATGAAGTTCAGGCGAATATCATCTCCGATATTGAGATAGTGGGTGAAATGCATGAAGATGTTGTACATACACTTATGGAAAAACTAAAATGCTTTAGAAATTTAAATAATCATGATGAATTCAGAGTTAAAGTTAACGATTCTATAAATGACATCTTAAACTGGTTAGATAAAATATACGATAGTTTAGCCATGTTATTGAGTAAGTATATTAACGTTAATGTACCCCACCTTACTGAAGATTTAACCAAAACCTTACAACAGATTGTTGAAGACATTCAGAATTCCAAATCTGCTTCTGCCCAAAAACTTATAGAGGAATTAAAAAAAAAAGATAGAGAGCTAAGTACTATGATACGATCCACAACTGGCCATAATCTTGAGATTTGTAAAGTTGTCAATAAAATTAATGTGATAGAAGACCGAATTAAAAGATTAGAAAATGAACAAACTTCTGCTGCTATAATGGCCTTGCAGCATAAGAAAACTTACTTAGAGAAACGACTTAATTCATTAGAAAATTTAAAGACCACATTGAAAAGTATTTTGAATGTAACAACTACAAAATTTGAGACTGTAAGTCAAGAAGAGCTTTGTGTTTGCAAGGACTTTTATCAACTCAGAATTTTCAATCATGAACTTCCATGTGAAGAACGTGAACGTCTAGCTTCAGAGTTATGTCACTTATGGGATTTAGCTGTTTTCGGAGAGTTTAGTCATAAATCTATCATTTCAATCCTAAGTGCCGTTGACATGAAAGAAGAATTTACTGACGAACTTGGTACTTTTTATATTGATGTGTACAGTAGAAAAATTTATAAATTACCCAATGATGAAAAACTATATCAACCAAATGAGAATAATATACTTGTACCTTTATCTGATGATGGTGAACAAATATATTACTATGATGAATGTGGACGGTATTTTATAGAACCAAACACTAGACAAAGGGTATATAAAGCTCATGCAACTGCTAGTGAATATATGATGAGTAGTGATGGAGTGCTTTTAAAGACGAAAGAAGAGCGAGACGGCGTTACTTATTACTATGATAATTATGGACGATATTACATAAATAGTGATGGTAAAAATATTTACCGGGAAGCTGATGCAATAAGTGAATATGAAAATGATGGTTTTGGGAATCTTGTGCGTATTCGAAGCCATTCAGACATATTTGATCCATGTCCTGATGATGAGAATGTTACTGAAGACTTTACCTATATTAAACATAATGTAGGAAAAGCCTTAAGAGTATGTATTGCCCAAGTAATACTATATCAACCTGATGATCCGATTAAATTTTTATCGGCATGTTTATTTAAATACCGAGAAAATATCGAGTTGAAAGATAAACGAGCAAGAGAAAAAGAGGAAATTGCTAGAGAAAGAGATATAAGAATAGCCGAAGAAAGAGCTGAAATAGAGAACGCTGCTAAACAAGCCATTTTTCTGGAACGAGGTGGAAGTGAAGCTAGTTATGACTCCAATCTGCTCAAATATACTTCGGTGCAACCTGATATAGACTTGGATTCATTTGAGGCTACTACAAAATAAAATTTGTGTGTTGTATTAGTCGTCTTTTAAACATCGTTTTTGATGTACATGATTTTCAGTCTATAGCTTTAAGTATTTTTACCTTTATTCAAAATATAATATTACCAGTGAAATTTCATAAAGCATTCAGTACTTGTTTTTTATTTCTTATTTACTACCGTCACAGAGGGTGTTATTAAAATAATTTAAATTATAATTACACAATATACTGAAAACAAAACTATCCACTAACGAGTTTTTAACAAAGTAGAATGTTAGAAATCATATTTGAAGTTTATTTGTTGTTTCTTCCGAGCCAAGCATCGCGATTCCCAACGAATGGCCTTGCAAGTTGCATGTGTTGGACATAGCAGAACTCACATACTCGTAAGTGCGAAAATATGGTCAGTCGATCATAGTTAGAATAGGTACTTCATCTAAGTAACTTAATTAACATTTCGCAATGTATTTTTTACTTTTTATTGACACCCTTAATAACCACAGAAAGGAAGGGAAAAAGATGCAAAGTAATATGGACTCGCGCGCAGCGACAAAGTTTTATTTAGATTGCGTGCGCAATTTATTCAATTAATAGTAATTATGTAGGCTACTCAGATGAAGTAAAAAAAGGTAGATATCGCACCTAGAACAAGAAACTGTAACCAATTTTTTTAACTATGTGTGAGTCAGAGAAGTTTTGCCACTTTTTTTAAAAATTCCCTGAAAATCGTGATACAATACTACAACTGTAAGAGTAATATGCGATGCGAATGCGAAAGTATAGCTGTCTGTTTTAACAAATTTCAACAATTTGATAATTTAAATAAAGATGAAGCACGTAGGATGCGTCTATAGATCATTTAAAAGTCTTCTTGATAGATTGTCCAGTGAGCATGTAAGCATCGATAAAATATACAACAAATGTAATGTAAAACATGTTTATTATAAAAAATAACCTAATACTAAAAAAACTAGTTGGAATAAAAATAAATTTCCATAGAAATAAAAATATACTTTTCTAAATGAAAAAAGTATATTTTAGTAATTGCAAAATAGAACAAACTCCAGCCGGGGGCACGAAGGTGTGTTCTAATTTGTACCTCGGGTAGGAGGTACAAATTAGAACACAATTTTCGTCGTACATATTTATAGGCAGATGGAGAGTAAAAACTTAATGTCATAGCAAATTTTCGAAGGGCAGGTGGATAAGACGGTTGCTTTGTTTTTCTTGGCTTGTTTCTATTTCTACTGTATTTATTTTTAAGCAATTGTAGTCTATAAAGCTTTGTTATTTCGGCTTTTGTTCCAAGAGCGGACTCAATTTCCTCTGTGATATACTTCTTCTGTTTCAAATCTTTAATTATATATAACAGTGATTTGTTTTTCTTTTTTACCTAGCACTCTGTTTTTTTTTAATTTTTTATTTTCTTAGCTGAAACCCTTTGACGTTTTTCTAACCTATGAATTCTTTCTTTTAGGTGTACTTCCCTTGGCGTGTCAAATATTGAATTGAGATCGGTTGAAGGCCAGAGTTCTTCGTTCTCCCAAACCTGTAAATAATTTATATAGATAGGGTTCTGAATATGGAGAACAAGTAAACAAAATTTATTTTATTGTAGATAAGTAGGTATGCATGAGACCAAAACCTCAGTCTCCAATCGCGGTATAGCCGATCCTTTCAGCCTTCGTAGTCCGGCTTTTGAAATATCAACATCTTTGTCACAAAAATGAGCAGAGCATACTCTTGCGTTTTTATGAGGCTTGAAATAAGGCTCTTTTCGTTGTTCCCTAATAATACGACTTCAAATCTCTTAACATGTTGAATCATTTGGAAATCTGTAATTTATAAATTATTTGAAACGCAATTTGTCATCGCACATGTATAAACATTCTTTATAAGTCTTCGTCTATTCATTTTTACCAGAAGCTTGATGACGGCAGCAGCTTCTCTCAGTTTGCGTGTTGAAAAGTAAACAGAATTTCAAAATATTTTATGAATCAGATTTTCAGTTTCAATAAGTAGTTAATAAAAGTTAATAGTAAAAAAAAATAATAAGAAGTTATTGTTTCTTTGGTACTTCTTTCGTTTTACCCCTATTGAATATAGAAAAAGTTAGGTAGGTACCAATGTTCAAAATTTAACTTACTCTAACTTCATACAAAATAAAACAGAAATAAAAATAAAACCGTCAAATAACGAAACGTATAGATTATTCGCATGATGCCAATATATCGGCGCATGGGAAAAAGAAACATGAAATGTCAAACGTGGTATAATTTTGGACAATAATATTTTGAAAATAATATAATTTTATTTTCCATGTACAATTTTTTAAGATCTGAATCCAACCCTGGCGTAATCTTGGTAACGTAACTAAGCGAACTAACTGTAAAACTGTGTGTTGAAAATGCGTTTATATAATAATTTAATTATAACAAAATTAATGTAAGGTTTACTTACCTATGATAAGGTATCCCATCTTCCTTTTTTTTCCTTGTATCGTAATTTTTGCATCCATTTACAACGCAACTAGGCATATTTATGACAATCAAATTTGTCCTGCGCGCGCACAACTGATGAACGGTTCGCGTTGGCCCTAATTTAGGGCCAACGCACTGGTCCGTTTTATTTGTTCGTTCGGCCCGGTCCTTACGCCAGTAATTTATAAGTCAATGCATTCAACATGCCGTTTGCGTTGACGTTTGGATACTATTATGCAACATGTTCTGAGAGACTACTGATGCCCGATATGTCAATATGCTGCTTTATTTATAAAATCTATGTTTGTTTGTAAATAGGTGTAAGTCATTGTTTTTACTCACATAATATTACTTTGTTCTATCCTAAGTTTTTGTATCTTATGTAATTATAACTACTTAGTAACTTTTTAATAACTTGAAGAGTGCGGTGTATACCTATTGTTGGTGTACTTAAATAAATAAATAATTTAGTATCAGAATTATTTAACATATTTGCTCCTTGTCTGATTTTTCTTAAAAAAAGAATATTAAGAATGCTATAAACATTACTAATCTTCCCCCCTTAACCACTCCATTACGCAAGTGATCGTGCCAGTCAATTGATCTCTGACAAAAATGCTGAATTGCAGTGTAGTTTCATGCATAAAACAATAAAAACCGTCAAACCAACAACATGACTTTTCAATAATATCATCGTCAAAACTCGTATATTTTGAAATATATTTGTAAAATACAAAGTGTTGCCAGCATAGATCATGAAAAATAAGCGATTTTAAAATATATATAATTTACTAGGTACACAAAATAAATATATTAACGAAAATTTATTTCATATTAACTAAATCAGTTTGTGATGAATAATAATCATTACATTAAGATGTGTAGTGGATTTTGTCAAATGATTTAAATATTCAGCTCAATCTCAACACGATTCTGATTATATTATAATTAAATATAATCGATAACTAGTCTTTATCCAAACATTATACAAAATAAAGGCCAAATAAGTCGAATCGAAACTTGCTACTTCGTAGCAAATGTATGCAGTTTTTGTAAAATTAACTGGTAACACTTCAACCACCACTACAATGTAGTGATGTACGTCACAACTTTTGCTATCGATAAGTTAATTAACCCATTCGGGTTTGTCTGCCGAACAGGTTTTTATTATTTGTTTAGATTTTATAATAAAGTATTTCCAAAAGGTGTACATTTTTCTATTATTGGTTTAATAATAATAATAAATAAAAATAGTTTATTCAGTAAATGATCATGCATAAATTGTAACCCGGGATGAGGTCTCCTTATTAAGTATAAAAACTTGTGTTAGAAGACTCCACTCTTCCATAGCACTTAGATTACTATTTGCATGATCTTTTACATAATAATTAACTATAAAAATTAAATAAGAAACTAATAACATTCACGATAAAGGTATATATGCGCTAACGCGCGTGCTTGTGTGTTTGCGTGCGACGCACGCGCGCTTGTGTACATAATATATTTGCAATCATGGTAGTTAAGGTGATGAATTTTATGCTTTTGTTAATGGCGTTGTATAGAGTCGCTGATTGTTTTACATATTGCCTCCTAGTTAAAACAGTTTTAACAGCGAAAGTTGTAGCCATTACCTATTTCCTTTCTTTGGCTACAATACAATGGTTAAACTTTATATCTTTATCAGTCTTAGAACTGAATATACGATGTACGGTATCCTAACAATGAGTACATTACTTATGGCATAAAGATCCTCTGTAGATAATCTTTTTGGTTTAAAATGAGTAATTTTTAGTAAATTTCTCTGTGCCCTTTCAACTTCTGGAAATTTGATTTCTGTAGCACCACCCCACACAATATACTAAATTGAGCCAATGTAAATTGAGCCAAAGCAATATATATTTGGTATAGTAACTTTTTTCTTCGTAGTGTTTTAAATGTCCATGTAAGTTTCCTAAGTCTATTCATGATTAGTTCAATGTGTCTATGCCATGACAAATGTCGGTAAACTATGACTCCTAAATACTTAGTCTCAGAGACCTTACTATTTAATGAACACTTGCAACTAGTACTTAAGGGATCATAGCATGTATGAAGTTTCATTTGAAAATTAATATAAGGCTGAGTTCGAATATAATTTGTAAGACATATCTAACTAGTTTTCAAAGTATTTAAAGTAAGCAAGGCAAGGCCTTCTTCCGCAGATCTACTAACAGAATCCCAGGAGTCACCAGTAAATATTATTGCAGTATCATCTGCATATGAGATTATGTTGCCCTCGTTAACGTCCATGTTGGTTAGATTATTTATGTAGATTAAAAACAAAGTAGGACCTAGGATACTGCCCTGTGGAACTCCGAATGTTATATCTAATTCATCGCTTAAGTATTCACATATCTTTACTTTCTGCTTGTAATACTTAAGATAGCCTTTAAATAAATCTAAATGAGTACCCCTTATACCTATATTCTCAAGCCTTTGCATAAGGATTGATTTTACATATTTCCAAGAGATCCTCTTAATTGGCAGACTTGGATTGCAGC